TATGTCTAATATGTCAGTTATGCCACATATGTCTGACATATCATATATATCACTTATGTCACATTTATCGATCTTTTGCGCCACATAAGCTACGTCACATTTACCCATTTACATTACTCCTTGCTTAAAATTTCTGCTCCTGCAGAAATATCGAGAGTTTCCAGTATAAAAGCTTGATATTCATTAGACTTTAATCGTCAAATCATGGTCAAGGTCAGACATTGAGTATCAAAGATTCATTAGACTCCTACATTTTCAAAGAGATGATAAACTTGAATAGCGGTTTAGTAATAATATTTAGTTATCATTGTCATTTGTACTGTTCGTTAGGCTAGTGAAATAGTCACATCGTCAATAAGTTAACCTAAATAAAAAGCATTAACAAGAGATAAAATACGGTTCCAAATACAGTTCCTTATACGGGTAGAATGAAGGAGAGTTTGGTAAGCGGACTGCATTTTTTGAGCTAAGGATGTGTCAGTTTGATATAGAGGTTCCATTGGTCAAATTTCTTTTTCAAGAATAGTTATAGGAATTTGAAGTTCTTTTAAAACTATTTCAAAATTCGTAAGTTCCATTATAGTTTGATTTAAATAATATAATGATGGCAGAGGTTCCTTTTATAATGTCTTAATATCGATCATTATTCAATGATAATCTGAGGCTCCCATTCAGTTCATTCCAGATATAGTTTTAAGAGATCTACATGTATAGGGTTTTTTCTAACTCATTCATCTATAGTACAAAGTTTATAAGTTTCAGGTCTCACAATGTTGTGAATGTAGAAAGGTCTATCGAATTTGTCCTTAAACTTGTCTCCGTGAATGTATGATTGTGTGATATTAAATAATAAAACTTTATCTTTGATTTGGTAAGGAATTCCAGGTCAATCCTTATTGTAACATTTCTGTTACTTTTATTGTCATTGCATAATATTTTGCTGTGCATCTAATCGTCATTGTTGCAATTGTGATGAGATTATCTGCTGATATTTCTTCATGGCATTTGATAAGTTTAAAATAGGTGAAGGTCGTCGTAATTGTAAATCTATAGGTAAAACTGTCTTTCGTCTATATAACAACTCAAATAGTTCAAATTTAGTTGTTCCTTGCTAGGCAGTTCGGTATGTGAATAATGCTGATGTCAAATAAGTATCCCATTCTCCATGATGTTGTTCAGCATATTTGGCTAAAATTGTACACAAGGTCTGATTAAAACGTTCAGTAAGGTCATTGGTCTGAGGGTAATATGGTGAAGATAATCTATGTTTAGTCTCTACTACATGTAACAAAGCAGTGACTAATTCATTTTAAAACGATATTGCTTACACTAGTCGAAATAGTCCAAATCAGCTAAAAATCAGATGGCCGATTTTAGGCCAATTTTGATACTATTTACGTCTGATTTTCTATATTTTCTGATCGGTATAAACAGGTGCCGATATACGCTGATCAACCCCAATCAGATATGGCCATTCAGAACTTAAATTCAACCATAAATCAGCCTAAAACTGGCCACAATTCGGTAACAATTCAGACGCCGATAGACGCTGATCGACTCTAATTGGACATAGCCATTTAGCATCAATTCAGAACTTAAATAACCATAATTCAGACGCCGATCGACACCGATCGACTCCAATCAGACAAGCAATTCAACTATATATCAGCCTATAATTCAGTATCAATTCGGAAACAATTCAGACGTCAATCGATGCTAATAAACTCCAATCAAACAAGCAATTCAACCATAAATCAGCCTACAATTCAGTATCAATTTGGCAACAATTCAGACGTCAATTGATGCCAATCGACTCCAATCGGACAAGCAATTCAGCATCAATAATCGGTACATTTTATTTATTAAATTTATTAAATATTAAAATTTTATTAATAATAAAAACCTAATATAAATTTGCAAAAATATAACAAAATATCACTAAAATCTACTGATTAATTTCCTATTAAAAATAAAATAATAAAATAATAAAATATGATCCATTTCCTCCCAAAATCTCCTTAAGGGTAGAGTGTATCACGTGATAAATTATAATGATCGACATGACAATTTTATATTAAATAGTAATCCTAATTTTCGCACAAGGTAAAATTTTGTAACACTTAACATATAAGGATAAAACTTATACTGTTATAAAGGCACAGTTCTAAACTTTGCATTTCAACTTTAAAAAATTTTGTTCATTAAGAAACATTTTGAAAAAATCTAATATGAAGTTGCGAATATAAATATATATTTTTGCGAATATGAAATAATGAATTTTATTAGTTTCCAATTTATTGGTGCTATTTGGCTTGACTTATCCTATGAGATCTGTATACATTTTTTTTCTTTACATTTAGATGCGTAAAAGTTGTACATTTCACATTTAATTTTATATATATATATTATTATTAGTATTAAATTTTATTATTATTATTATTAACGTATTATTATAATATTATAATAAAAATTCCTATTTTTTATGCATCCAATAGTACCATGAATCTTCCATAACTCTTGTTTTTGCTTTAGCAACAAGTCCTACTATAAATATACTCGCTGATAAATTTTGAGCATTTGGTGAAGAATAATAAAGTAAAATTCTTTATTCTACATAACCACACATTACCAAATCAGCAAGCATATAATTAGCCAATTCTTTTGGCTTTTCAAATTTTGGCTTTCAACTACTTTTATATACCACTAGCTCAGTCAAACCTGACTCTCAAATCATTTTAGTATTTGACTTACAAAAAATTTCTACCACATCATCTTCAGTAATTTCACAATTACTATTACCCATTTCCTCAACAATATCTAATAAATGAAGAATATCTCCTATGCAATTTTCATGGGTTAGCTGTTCTTTTATCTGATTTTTACAATTATCACACTTCAAACAAGGAGAAGGAATACTATCTTCATTCCAAAGATAATAACGACTAATTATTTGGCTTCTGCATTCATATTGATTTTGGCAAAATAAGAGGACTTCACGAATTTTATGTATTTCATTATCAAGATAACATTTTCATTCATGTTCTTAGTCAATCATATTTTGAGTATTAAAACAGCTATTTATTAAATATATTATTATCAATATAAAATATTTCTTTCATAATAAATTTTTTTTGATAATATAACTTTATAGAATAGAATTTATAATTATTAGCGATTTAACTCAAACACTCACGTTTCATGATTTTCAGCTAAGATTCCAAATTTTGTTCTTAAATCTTTTTTTATTGAATAAAATATAACACTTCTGGATTCACTACCATTACGTCCTGCTCATCCAATTTGTTGAACCAAATTCACTATATGTAAAGGTTCGGGCGAAACCTGATAATTACGTCCAATCTGAATCCGAAAACTAGGCGATATTAGTTACGCCTCAACAAAAAATTTCCGAAATGTCCGATTGAGTCTATACTGCCCAAATCCGAAATTCAATCTGAATTAATTGAAATTCTCCAAAACTTAATTATTCACGTGAAAATCAAATATATAACATTATTGGTAAGACAAACATT